ACTGAAACTACTGGCCAATTATATGGCTAGCAGTTTCAGCGATTCGCCACGGGTGGCGCCACCAGTCGAAAATAGATGTCCGCCTTTAAATTGCGATTTTAACAATCTTCTGGTCGTTTATTGTTATTATCAATAACAGTGGATTAATCTACGTACTTTCAGCTACAAATTGAGTGCTTCAGCTAAACGAAAGTAGTCCGTATAACGGTTTACGAGCTGTCCAAAGTAAACTGACCGGGGTACGCATGACGAGATACAGTGTCAACCGTTGCAAATAAACTGCGAATTTTAACAATGTTCTGGTGGTTTATTGTTATTGCTACTGACAGGAGATTAATCTACGTTCTTTCAGCTACAAGTTGAGTTCTTGGTCATGACGAATCAGCCGTTATAGGGTACTAATCTACATTCTTTAAACTTCGAATGTATTGCATGACAAAGAAAAGTGTTGTCTGTTTAGTGGTTATGTAATTGCTACAGTTTTCGATCGGATTTACACTGCTAAACGAGCATCAGTTTTCTTCGTCATGGATTACATTGGAATTTTAATGAACGCAGATTAGTACTCTCAGGTAGGTGGGAACCAGTAATTACAAGAACATTGTTAAACTCTCAATTGTTTGCTACGGTTGACACTCTATCTCGCGATGCGTACCTCGTTTAGTTCACTTTGGACAAGTCATACAACGTTATCCTGACAACTTTCGTCTTGACCAAGCATTCTATTTGTAGCTTAAAGAACGTAGATTAATCCCCTCTCATTGACAATAACAATAAACGACCAGAACACTGTTAAAATCGCATTTAATCGCGGAATAGCACTATTTTTTTCGACTGGTGGCGCCGCTCGTGGCAATTGGTGCAAACTACTAGCCAAATCATACCGACAGGTGAGTGAAAATTTCTGGCGATGGAAAAATGCAAATATCTCAGTAATTAAGCCCTTAAAATGAACGTTATTAATCTCAAATTGTCTCTCAGGACTTAATGCATGGACCCAATAGTGTAGAACTCCTGAATTAGTACAATTAGTTATGCCTGTATTACCGTTGCCCCTTATTAT